CAAACTCATTTGGAGTCATGAGCCAGCCTCTGTTCGAAGGCTCAGATTCATGACTTGGACTTTGCATCTCATGGGGCAGTGAGGTCAGGAGCAGGGGTGAGGGTGGGCACTCAGATGGGCACGGGCTTGTCTGGGGCACGAAGGCAGTTTGTTAAGGGAAGTGGCATTTGCTTGAGGAGAGTGCCAGTTGGAGTAGGGTCAGCAGGGCTTGTGAGATTTTAGGGCAGAGTGATGTAGGTTATGCAAAGGTCCAGAGACATGAAAGGGCTTCTGATATAAGTGAAACCGTATGTGGCAGAGTAAATAGCCCAGTTTGTGGGTTCTCACCCATGTGTTCACAGTTGCAAGATATGACTCAAGCTCAGGGTACAACAACAGGCTTATTTACAAAGGGGTGGTTGAAACAGGGATAGAGTTTCTAAAGCCACAAATGGCCAACGGTCCTACCCCAGAGAGTGTCCACAGTGTCCAGCAGGACAAACCAAAATCTGCTCAGACAAGATGGTGTTGTCCTCTGTTGAGAGCCTGGAGCTGATGACACACTGGTATGTGGTGGACTGAGACCCAGCTCTTGGTGGCAACTCAAGGTAGTCATAGATGGCTCTCTGAGGTAGTTCCTCAACAGCACAGCAGCAATCTGAAGGCTGGTTTGGCAATGCCAGGCGCCAGACCAGACAGCTCTCAGAGGCAGTACCAGCGCACCAGGCACCAGTGTCACGGCTCCTCAGGGATACCAGGCATAGGCCAGCAGCAGATAGTTCTTTAGCTGTCAGGTATAGGACAGTGGCACTGATCAATTTGGAGTTCTGCAGAGATTTATGGAGGATTTCAGAGGGTCTCAGAAGTTTTAGAGGTCTCATCAAAATATCCCTAGGAGAGAGACTGGATGAGACTCTGTGAAGTGCCCCTGCTTACAGCCCCTTCAGGTTCCCTGCCTTTCAGACTTGATTGGCCCTTTTCCAACCAGAACTGTTTCTAAGGCTGGACTGGTGCTGGTGCAAACCTGATTGGTCCATTTTCAAAACCTCTCGAGATTCAAGACCAAAACCCAATAGTATGTTCAACCTTCCCTGAGCCATCTTGCTCTAGGGTGGCCCCGTAACAGAAGTGGGCAAGCAAGCACTGCTATATTTGAACAGGTTACGCCTGACCACAAGTCTCTAAAACTGCTGCTTTTCTTTCTTTTAACCCAAGCAACCCGCTCTGTGCCAGCTTTGGCCATCTTGCCTCGGGTTTGGTCATCAACCCCAGCTTACTCCAGGGTTTGGGTGGATGCAAAGGGCCCCACTTTCATAAGGAAGAAGGATTTCAACGTACCTGGGATTTGGCCTGAATCAAAAAGGAAGTTAGGATGGCATGAGCAGAGGAGACAACACGAGTGGGATAGTGACAGAGGTAGAGAGATAGAGATAGCCAATGCCAGAATCAGGTCCACAGTCCTGCTAACACAGAGAGCTATTGAGCAACAGGGCTAGGATACATGTGTTCAAAGAACATTACAGTCCTCCCCCAAGTATGCAGAAAGTGGATTGGTTAGAAGGGGGAGGAGCTGGGAGGCTGCTTCAGTCATCCAGGAAAAAGACAAAAAAGAGCTAAGCTGGGGGTGGAGGTGGTGTGGAAGTCTGGAACCTCTGAACACGCTCCAGCTCATCTCCACGGTGAATGGTGAGGAAGAGCTCAGACAAATGTTGGAGCACTTGCCTCCTCGGGTTTGGTTGTGCATGTGTCCTAGGAGGCGAGGCTTCCTCAGGCCAGAGTGCCATTGCCATGAGCTCACGTGTTAATACCTTCCCTTTTAGCCTCTTTCTCATAGCCCATAGCAAGAGCAGCATGAAAAGCACAGAACCCTATCTGGCACTCCTCTCCCAGAGGAGCTGCTGAGGTGAGGGCCCCCCTCCTCTCCAGACACACTCTAGAAGGGGAGAAGGGATGCAGGGGGCAGGTCAGAACCCGCCCTGCCACAAAGGAAGTACCCGCCCTACTAAGCCTTTCAGAGACTGCTTTCTCCCAAGTAGGTCCTGCTGTTACCAGGGCAACCAAGAACCCAGGGTTTTCTGTTTCTGTGTCTTTTGGGTCCCTGGGGAGAAATGGCCTGCGAGCTTTCCCTGGTTTGTGCAGGATGCAGGAACTGCTGGCTAGAGGTGGAGACTACCCCGGGGAAGGGGAGGAGGGGGAGATTGCTCCTCTTGTTGATTCCTAATCCTCCTCACATCCCTCCCCCCACAGAGGGCAAGGCCCTCTAAGCCGTTCTGATGTGAAAGGTAAAGGCCTGGGTTTTCATGGCCCTGATTTCTTGGGGCCAGACTTCTGCATACCCTTGTCAGGGAGCTACAGTCTAGCAGGTGTCCGAGAGAGCTGACCGTCACACATGCTGCAGGACTGCTGCTCAGCTATCACTTGGTCATGTGCTACATGCTAGAATGGAATCTCTAGGCTGGTTCCTGCTCAGGGGGCGCTATGGAAGGCTCGGACAAGGCTGCTTATTGAAACCACTTGGCATAGTTAGTCCTCAAGGCTCTTTTCTGCACAGGGGTGGACTGGACACTAGAACTACTTTGTGAGCTTTTTAGAAATGGAAACGAAACGTCTGGAGACTCTGAATCCATTAGTGTAGGTGCTGGTGGAGGAAGAGGTTAGGAGTTCTGGATGTCAAATTGCTGGGCTCACAGTCAAACTCTGCAAATGGAACAAGTGACCTCAAGCTGTCACTTTCATCTCTTACAGAATGAATGAGAGTAACAGTGGAGCCTCCTTCACAGATTTTTCTCTGCTTTCCTCCATCCCTGGAAACAGGGGTTTTGGGCCCTCGCCATCTTTGGCATCCTTCTACTGCCACCCCACCACCACTCTTTCCCTCTTCCATCTTATCCTTAATCCTGGCATACAAAATGGCCTTTGTGAGGTACAACATTGGTCACCTTCCCACTGGGCAGCCAGGACTCCGCGTGAAGTCCAGGAAACCCTGGGAGGCCCAGCATTTCTCACAGCTATGCAGATGCTGATTCATCTCAGCCCCCATCCACTCAAGTTCTCATTTGTTTTCCACAAATTTCTTCTAAGCCATGTCTTCCCCCTCAAGCTTCTGCAGCTAGTTTTCTGAATCTGATGGCAAGATCTCAAATGTGCCCTGAGTAAAGATAATTTCAGCACATCCTTCTAGGCCAAGGAGATTCAGGGGGCTCCTGATTCCATTTTGGAGAACACCGTGTAGTCCTCTGAGCTCCGTACTATCTGCTAGTGCCCCTGCAGGCCACCTTTCTATCTCCATCCAGGGGCCCACTTACTCACTCGAGCCATTCATATAGCAAGCTAAGGCTGAGATCCCACTGAGTGCCCAGTCGTGAGCAGGGCCTGGGTCAGCAGTGATCAGCCCCTACCTGTGCCTACCTATGATGGCATGAGAAATCCAAGGGTGCTGAAAACTTTATGTGACTTCCTGAAACAGAGCAGGGATACCAATGCTCATGAATATAGCCGTCGGCCCCACATCCCAGAAGGGCAAAGACCCACAACCCAGTCAGGCTGAGGCTGCGTGGGGGAGAGAATTTTGCTGCAAAGAGCAAGGTGTCTTAGAGTTGTGAGAATACTAGCTGGGGTGTCACAGAACCTCAAGTGCCCCCATGGACCTCTGAATCTCTGAGATTCAGGTCCCTCAGCTACAGGAGACACTTACCTCCCTGAGTTGTCATCGGAATGAAATGAGATGATGTTGGCATAAGTGCCAGATGCGGGTCAGAAACGAGCTGGGTTCCTCCCTCCTGCTCTCCCTCCCTTCCTTCCTCTTAGGAGCAATGCAATGTGCCTCTGAAACTGGGCTGGCTTTCTCCCTGGATTCCAGTAAGGTGGAAAGAGAACTGGCCGGACAGGACAAACTGGAAGACGAGTGGCTGGGAGGCAGAGAGATGAAGTGCCTCTGGGCTAATGGGTAGCTGCAGGGCTGTGAATGCCTCGGACCAATTGTCAACTTTGGGTCAGTGACTTCTAATGTCTGTTTTTGTCAGACAGGGTAGGGTTAATAAGAAAATGAATGTGCCGTGCCCAGCGTGGGACTTAGACCTAGGAGGAGTTCAATAAACTTTTCCCACCCACCATCCCAGGGGAACAAAAATACCAATTTATTACTGGTAAAGTTCAGCAAATCCCAGAATAGGATTCAGTTTTTTTCTGACCTTTGCAGTCATGGGGACCAATAAAGTCTTGCTGGGAGGGTTCTCCACATGGACTGCCTGTGGGATCTGTGTTTACTCAGCACCAGCTAGCTCTCTGGTATACCACAGCACCACCTAGTGCCAAAAAGTAGAAGAGCCCTCCCTTCAAAACCTCATTGAAGTGGGAGGGGGGGTCGGAGGGGGAGGTTGTTCCCATGGGGCAAGACTGTTAAATGATGACAGGGCCCCGCCACTTGTATTTTTATGTCCAAGCGGAATACTAATGCCTGATCTCTCTACTGCCCTCCTCACAACTTCTGCTACCCACCACTGCAGAGGATTCTGGGTAGGTCCCTTAAGTTCTGCTGGGCATGAGCTATAAAGCTTCAGACTAGAGCTCAGTCAGGCAAGGTGCCTGGGAAGTGCCCGGTGCCTACTGGATACCCCTCTCTCTGTTTGCTCAATAACCCACTGAGCACACTGAGACACAAGTCTGTACACACCCTTTGGATTTTTATTGAGGAAGCTTTAGCATAATGAATAATTCCGTATCTTCACAACACAGTAATGTGACAATAACACAGTAACAATAACACATTTATTCCGAACGGAACTCCTTCTGAGTCTCTGGGAATCCTTGGGCTGCCTTCAGACCCCTGCATGCATCCCCCCCCCCCCGTCCCCTTTCAACCCAAGAAAGCACCCAAAGCCCATAGTTCCATAGTTCCTCTTACAGCTCTTATCGGTGCTATATAACAACAAATATTGAAGATCTGGGAAAGGCGGGGAAGAGGGTCAAAGGGAAGTTCAAGGCCCCTTGCCACCTGAGGCCAGAAACCAGTTCACTGATTATTCGCTCTTTCCCCAGCTGAGGCTACTGAGGGCTCAGAATGAGAAGCACCATGGGAACAGGCAGGGCCTGTGCTGAGGGGTCCCTGGGAGGGGGAGTGCAAAGCACCTGTCCTTTATACCTCTCCAGCAGGGATGTAGACAGCAGAGCCAGAGTGTCATCCACGGCTGGAAATATTGTGGCTCCCCTTCCAGAACCGTCTCCTGAGGAAATAGCTGAAAAACAGACAAAGTTATCTTTACAGGGTTGTTTCCTCCAGCACTTGGTGGGTCTGGGGAAAAACCAGGCAATTTAAATGGCCAATAAATTAGGGGACTGCTCACATAAAGGATTCATTAGGCGTGACTGAATAGGTGTCAGCCATTTTAAATCCTGCTAACCAGGAATTTGCAGGATGAACTTAGCTTTGAAAAGAGGCAGCAAGAACACCCTAGAAAGAAAGGCAGCCAGTTGTTAATAATGCTTGCCTCTTTGATGTGGGATTCTGAATATTTCAGGTTTTCTTGTCCTTGTAGTTTTCTCTATTTTCCGAAGTATCTATAATAATTCTGTATTTCTTTTGTCTGGGTGGTGGGGGTCGGAGTCTTGGGTAGCAACAGGTTATAGGAACCTGACTCCACTGATCCCCAGACTGAGAAATGAGAGCTAGAAAAGGGGGCTCCTTACCTCCCACAGGTGAATAAAGACCTCACCAGAAGCCAAAAAAGGAGTGGGTTTCTCTTGCTTCCTCTTCCTCCAGTTCCTTCTTCTTGCCTCCAGGGTGAGACTCCTGAGGCTGGCCTGAGGTGGTATGCCACTCAGCGAGTCACAGAGGCTTGGTTTGCTGTTTTCATCCCTCTGGCCACAGACATTTTGGCTGCACTTACCCAGCTGCCAGGCACCATCCAGGAGACAATGTCAAGGGCAGTTCGGGACAGCAATGGACCTGGCTGGCATACTGTGGCCAGAGTGACACAGTATGTAGTTTTCACTATAAAAGCAGTGCTTTGGGGACCCAAGGCAAACAAGCAACAGATGTCTAGAAGAACACCAAGGTTTGTAACAGAGGGCCCAGGGGTTACTAGGAGACAGTCGCCCTCTCAAGCCTCAGCATCGAATCAAAGCCCAGTGCCAAGTCCCAGCTTGCCCCCACCCCTATGTGAGAGGCATGAGAACACACAGGTCACAAAGCTGCTGTGCGTAGTCTCTGGAGAGAACCTTCCTCTTCCTCCCTCTCTTCTCAGAACTAAAGAATCTTTCATGTTGAAGTTAAAGGACAGGTCTTAGGCTGGATCTCTCTTTGGTGATCTGGGAAAGGCCAATGCAGCCTCCTCTGGAATCCCAAAGATGGCAAATCTCCTGCAAAGACCTCTGGCTGGGGGCTACCATGCAAGGCCTGGCTGTGGGGAGACCACCATCCCCCAGGAAAGTGTCCCTCTTTGCATGGCCAAACTGAGTTGCTGCTGCTTATTCCTCTTCCTCCTCCCCACCCAACTTTGTGTTAGGCAGCATTTTTAAAAGGTGCAGAGTCTGTAACATTGGGTTCTGTCCACTGGGAAGGCCCTGGTGGAAGTGTGGTAGGACTGGGGGAGGGTCCCAGATTGGTAGTCTAGGGGCAGGTGGAACCAGCTGGCACAGTCGGTCGGGTACAAATCCCAGCCAGTTGTCCACTTGACATGCGGCTTTGCATACTCTCGCTGGGCTTAAAAGTACAGTCCTCTTCAGGGTGTGACTGGAAGCAAGTGGAGGCTTCCAGGCACATTTCTTGACACCAGTCCTGCTCTTCATCAGTTATATGTAGTAAATGGCCTCAGTGGCTTGAGAAGTTCTGTGTAGCCTGTCTTTTGCTCACTGGGGAAGATCAGTGAGGCATTGTATGAAGTCCTGGCAAGCCAGACAGAGGATTAAACCACAGAACACAGGGTGAATAAACTCAGGAGAGGTGGGGGTCAGGAACAACTAGAGGGGAACTACAATGGGGTGAGCAATTCATGTACAAGAACAGGCCTGGAAACTTGCTCTCTAGCCTGTGGCTGGACTGCAGGGTGCACGCCAAGGGGACAGCTAGTGCCCATCCCTCCTTTCCTTGGTCAGGCACATGTCACTTCCTGGTCGCGGCTGCAAGATGATCTGGAGTTCCACAGGTCTTCTTCAGGGTCCACAGGTCTGGGAGATCCTTAGGTCCTGGTCAGCAAATGGGGCAGGTATGGCAGCAAGAAGCAGGGGCAGGGGAAACAGCAGAAGGGTGTGTTTCAGGTGGCCACCTCGCCCCAGCACTCACACTCGAATGCGGCCCCGAGCAGCCCGGTGGCCCCCTTGTCTCGGAGTGAGGCGGAATAGCACCGGGGGCCGTCTTCGGATTTGGCGTTGCCCCAAGCGACCTGCACGGCGAATCAGTGGTGGTGAACTGTAGAATGGTGAATTGGTACCTGGAAGGCCCTCCAGAAGCGGGACTCGATTCTGGTTCCTCCGTCTGCTAGGCTGTACTATGGGAGGCGAAGCTTCCAGGAAATTTTCATGGTAGTAGCCAGTGGTCTGGGATGAAGCGTTGGCAAAGGTCGGAGGCATCTCCATTAGCTCCAAGTCATCATCTTGGGTCTCATCCTCCGACTCTTCCTCCGGTTCTGGCTCCTGCTCTGCCTCCTGCTCTGGCTCCTGGATCCCAAGTTCACTGACATTTCCCCCCTTAATCTTATTCTCATCTTCATCTTCACTGTTAACTGTCTCCACATCTACCTCTTCATCTTCATCATCTTCCTCCCGGGCTGCCTCCTCCTCCAAGCCTTTCTCCTCCTCCTCCTCCTCTTTCTGTTTCATCTCCCCCTTCTCCTTCCTCATCTCTTCCTCCTTTCTTCTCTCCTCCTCCTCCTTTTCCCTCATCTCTTGCTGAATTGCTCTCACTCGTCTCTGCTGGTCCTTCTGGGAAAGCCTGTGCCGATGCACCTCTTCATCTTCCTCCTCACTGTAGTACTCTAGTTCTTTGCTGACCTCTTCATTAGGGTCCTCAGCAAAAGGGAAGAAGATATTGCGAACCCCGGGGAGCGGCATTGGCTTGGGGACTCGCACTTTTCTCTCTATCTCTACACACTCGAGAATCAGCTCATCAAGATCGGCCATCTCAGTTGACCATAAAAGTTCCTTGCGGAAGAATTCTGACAGGCCTTTGAGGAACTGGTTTTGAAGGCGGCAGTCATCCCAAGACAAGAATTGGGCCAGAAACTGAAAAGCGTCGGCATAGCTGCCGAGGGTACAGTTTCCCTGCTTGAGCTTGCGGATGGCCGTTTTCGCCACACTTGGAGGAATGGGGCCACAGAATTCCTTACGGGTCTCATCTAGGAAGCGTGGGAAGTTGGCGTGCAGCGGGCTTCCTTCCTGGGTGACCGCGGTGGCCCAGTCCTTGGCTCTACCCGCGAAAAAGGAGATCAGAAAGGTCACCCGCTCAGCGCCCCCGGGGAAATGATCCTCGTGGTCGGCTATGAAAGTCTCCAGCCGCATCAGGAATTCAGCCAGGTACACGGGGTCGCCCGCAAAGGGTTCGATCTCAGGCCGCTGGAGCGGCGGCAGAAGGGGCGGCGCTGAGGGCAGATCCTTTACTGAGGGTGGGGGCAGTGTCGACGCGGGCGGGGGCAGTGTCGACGTGGGCGGGAGGGACAGCGGGGGCGGGTGGAGGGGCCCGGCCGAGGTGCCACAGTCCTGGATCACGCTCATCCGCAGTTCGTCCGAGGCGCGCTCGGGCTCTGGGCGCGGGGGAGGCCAGCACGTGAGGGGCACCTCTCCCTCCGGAGCGGCGTCGATCTGGCTGAGCGGGAACTCGAGGTTCTCCTCGGTCAGCACAGGCACCACCGGCACTGGCCAGCGGATGTAGCTTGAGACATTGCCCCGCAGGGAATTCACCTCGGCCAAGGCTCTTCCGAGCTGCAGGCCCAAATTGGCATTCTCCCCGCGAAGGGCATTTAATTCTTCTCTCAAAGCGACATTCGCCATGCGGAGGCTATTGAGATTTCCCGCCGGCTCGGACATCTGGATTGACTCGGGGACCTGGGGTCAAAGGGTAGGGTTGGAGGGGTAGGAGGAGCGCGGGGGGGGGGGGTTCTTAGCAGGAGGCCGACCCGCGGGGGGGGGGGGGGCACCGCGGAACCCGCGGCTCGGCACCCAGCGCGTTACCTCGTCCCAGGGATCAGAGGCGGTGGCAGGCAGGTGGCGCCTGGCGCAGGACGCGGGAGGCGCGGCGATCGTTGGGGCAGGCAGGCGCGGGTGACGGCGGGCAGAGCGGAAAGTAGCACACCGTGGCGGGATCTGTCGAGGAAAAATCTTGCGGCGCTGGAGCCCCCCGGCTTTTAAGCGCAGCCTTACCCCGCCCCCGGCAGAGGCGGGTCTTCGAGAACCGCGGGCGCCCATTGGCCGTCACGCGCCGCTCCCCCCTCCTCTCTACTGCGCCTCTCACTGACTCTCTCCTTCCCTAGCTGCAGCTAACTCGGGTCGGGAAAATGCGACAGCGACTGCCCACTCGAGGTCGTCATGGCGACAGCCAGTGAACGTGTTCCTCTCCCCGGGCAGGCCCCCGAGTGTAGAGGAGCTGCTTCGCGAAGCGCAGCTCAATCTCCAGAGCCAGTTGCAAGGTACTGAGAGGGAGGGGGGCTGCGGCCGGAGCCCACAGGCGAGCTGTGCAGCAGCTGGAGGGAGGCATAAAAAAAAGACCACAGGCAGGGGCCAGCGATAGAAAAAGAGAATGGTTTCAAACCCAGTCAACCAACAAATCACACATCTCCCACCGTTTCTTTTACCTAGGCTGTATTTTTATGACTTTGCCCACTTCCAACCCCCACAACTCCCCGCCCCCCAACACCTTTCCAGTTCAGTAGTCCAGGGTGAAAAAGGCCAGAGGCTGAGGCAGGCCATTCACAGAAAGAAGTGGATGCAAGATTCCCACAACGTGAGCCCACATATCCCCACACCTTCTCTTGCCACATCACCCATGCCTTGGGATCCCTGAAGACAAAGGGATCTTCTGGCCTTCACTCACCCCGCTCTTCAGTAACCTTGTTCACATGACACCCGCGTAGTTACTGCCTCACCATGTAAGCCCAGTGGGGCACCCAGAGCTCACCTCATCCTCAGCTCCCCAGCCAGCATCTTTGGAGTGTACTGATGAGCACATGGTATGCAAAGCTAACTCCAGACAACCAGGACAACAGCCCAGTCATAGTGCCCGGGCAGGTAGCCTACATGCACCAGGCAGAGTGAGAATATCCAAACTCTAAGATCAGACTGAATTAAAATCTAATTCAAATCGTACCTAACTAGCTGTGTGCCATTATGCGGATCACCTGACCTCTCTGAACTTCAGATTAATCAGTCATCTTTAAAACGGGGGTTCCAATTCTCCTCATGGCATGAGAATTAAACATAGATGTATGTAAAACACTTTGCAAGAATGTCTTGCAGATGGGAAGACCCTGACAAGATGCAACAGTCAACTCCCAGCACATGCTTTTTGGAACACAGTATTAAAGTTACATATATATATATTACATTAAATGTGGTACCTATTAAGACCTTACAATATGAAAAAAGTACACATTGATTGGAGGGATGTACCCCATGTATGTGGCCAAAGGGTTAAAACCTAGTGCTATGACAGAAGCCAGCAGGGTACTGTGGACATCTGGGTAGAGGTTATAAGAGGCACTCATATCAGAATTCACTGAACTGTGCACTTTACTGTGGGTAAGTTATAGCTCAGTAAATTAGTACAAATAAAACCTCAGTGCCAGTCACATGTTCTTTATCCTGTCCAGGCCCTTGCTATTCCATCCAGGCCTATATTTCCTAGAAACTCTTCTTCCCTCTTCCCCACTCCGATCCTTACACTTTCTTCAAAGTTCTGTTCTTGCCTCATGTAAAAATACCTTTAACAGTAGTTCTGCATTAGCACGGTTGCCTCTGCAATCACTCGTCCAAAGTGCCTTGTACCATCGATTTCAGGAGGACAAGTTCTGCACTGCTTTCCCTTTCACTGCTCATCCATTTACTCAGGACAAGTTCTGCTCTGCTTTCCCTTTCACTGCTCATCCATTTACACAGGACAAATTTTGCTCTGCTTTCCCTTTCACTGCACATCCCTTTACTCAACCGCTGGTCTTGAGGATACATTGTGTCTACTTAACCAGACTGATCTTCTCAACATCAAGAATCCTACTTCTTCCTACCCTTGGGTTTCCAGAAGCACCTGACACCAGGTAGGGTTCCCAAGAGGTGTGCTCAGTAGGCATTTGTTGAGTGAATGTAAAATGTGAAAAGAAGTCCTTATCAGCTTTCACTTATCCTCACCAACAAAGGTGAACACTTCAGGAGAATAGAAAATTGCATATGGTCACCCATAACTCATACTTCCTGCCAAGGCCATCATGAGCTTTGTGTTAAGATAGGAGAGGAGCTAGCACATGGGTGGTGGGGGGGGGGAGAGAGAGAGCAGGGCCAAGTTGCTCTTTGTTGTCACATGGGCAGAATTAGGACCAGTGGTGGAAGCCTAGAGGAAAGCATATTTCACCTCGAGATTAGAAAGCACCTCCCCTCCATCCCCAACAGCCTCACTGTCCTCAGATGGAATGAGCTGCTGCCTTAGGAGAAAGATTGCTCCCCTCCCCTGCAGGTGTCTGCAGAGGCTAGAAAATCACCTGGAAGGGCTGCTGAGGAGGACATCTAAGCACAGGATGGGATATCAAACCAGAGAGACTTTGGGGCCCCTACTAACTCCAATCTGTAATGATTCTTAAAGTCTGTTCAAATGGGCATAGAGCCCTGCCTGTTGGCTCTCTACTCTCACTCCTTCATCTGCTCATCGAATTCATCACTTAAATGAAACTCATTCAAATCTTATGCCTCCAACTTACTCCCTGATGACACCCTCGAACTTCTCCTTCCTCTGTGCCACCACGTGTACCACCACCTCCGCCTTCCTGCTCCTCCACCTTAGCCCCCCGAACCTGACACCATCCATAGTGGGACTAAGGTGCAGAGAACTGGGTCCTCAAAGGCTCGAGGAAAAGTTCTTGCCACCCAAGAGAACACTCCAGATTGGACTTCCCAACGCAAATTTCTTCATGCTCCACACAGGTCATTTCCCTGGTAGGGCTGCAGAAGACGTGAAGAGCAGCAGGGCTTCAAGGAGAGGACCTTGCAGAATAAAGTAGCAAAAGGCATCTGCATCCCGAGCCTCTTCTCCGAGTCGAGCACTTCAGGTGGGGCCATGGAGACCAGGGCTTGGTCCCAGAAGCAGCACAGCTGGAATTTGTTGACTCAAAATGTTCTCCTCCGCCCTCCTAGTCCCGAAAAGTAGGCATTTTTCCATTTCTGAATCCAGAGGTCCAGACCCCGGGAAATATCCTAAAGGAACAATGCAAGTCAGGCCTGGCAGCTAGAGTAGGGCCCTGCTTCACAGTCCTTTGTCAGCCTGGCGTTTGGCCGTGGCTCCCTAGAGTGTGTATCCACTGTGCTATTTTTCAGAAGAATATGAGGAACAGTACTCGGAGGCCAGACTTCTGGGGCAGACCTTCCGCTCTGCTGATGAGGCCCCTGAGCCCACCCCCAGCCCAAGGCCCCAGTCTGCCAGGCGCCTGGAGTTTGTGTTGATGGTGAGTTGCCTCTTCCCCCACCTGGGAGAGCCAGCATACAGAGCCAGCTCGCCCCACGCCCATGGACAGGGGATCTGGAGCTGCTCACTTTACCCACCGGAAGCTGCTGCTCACCTCTGCTCACCAGCAGAGCTACCGAGGCCCTGTCGAGAAGGCCCAGCACAGCAGGTTTTGGGTCTGGCAGTCTATTCCTGCTTTCCTGCCTCCTGGCGAAGCCTCAAATCACCCTACTTAGACAGCCAGCCTTCGGGCACAGCCAGCCTTCGGGCACAGCCAGCCTTTGGGCACAGCTCATCTCTAGTTGGGAGCACACCCTTCCCATCACCTTCTTTCCCAACAGCCTACAAAGCGGCAGCTGAGCGAAGATGAGACTACTACCCAGGGGGTGAGGGCCCCCGAGGCCTCCCTGAGCCTGCACATCACTGTCGACAAGCAAGCTGCCTGGAATAGCCCCTTCCCTCTTCCCATCCTAGAGGAGAAGCGATGGCTTCAGCCTTGCTCCACGCACTCTGACATTGTGCCCATCAACATCTCTGGTAGAGTTGCTTAGCATCACCTCTGTCTGCTTCCCTCCAAGCCAACTACAGACCATCCTCTCCAAACGCACTGGGTGCCGAGGGAGGGAGCAAGACTTTCTCTGCTGCTGACTTGCCCTGCACTGTCAAGGTCACAGCTCTTACCAGGGAACAGAGACACACAGAGGAGGGGGTTCTGGCTGTTCTTTCACTCCCTACAGGCACTGTACTAGCAGACTATTTGATAGCAAGCAAAATTTTCTTCACAGGAAATTTTAAAATTTTATCAACTCATGTGCTCTTGGGAGCATCTGTGGAAACAAAGTTTATGAGTTCAGTTTGGTCTGGGAAAGCAAAACTTCTTGTTCCACAATCTGGGTTTGGAGCCAGAGGGAAAGTGTGGGTGCAGGGGACTAGTGGTAAATAGTAGGGGTGGGGCTCATACCCAGAGCACTTACCGAGGGCTCTGTGCACTTTAAGTAGACACCCATCTTCTAGTGGGGCAGATCCTGCCCACTTGGAGAACCAGTTTTAAGAAGGGAAGGGACAGAAAGGGACCAAGGTGAAAAAGACCAAAGCAGGTTAGTGGCAACCTTGAAAGTAGGGTGAATAATGCATGTAACTCAGCTGGCTGTGATTTTGGGGACATGTGGCCCCTAGACCACCTTCATTCTTAATTCCTGCTCCATGTTTCATGGGCTAGAAGTGGCAGAAGTTTTAGAAGGAGATAGGGTCATAACCTAATGGAATAAAAACCTCTTGGCCCTGAGGGACCAGAGTCACCCTGGGAGCCAGCACAGGCCAATGGTGTGCTGGGAAAAGTTGGTGAAAATGAAGGCATTTCTGGCCACCTGTGGTGATGGTCCCTAGATATCAGGTCATCTGGCACCACTGGTGTCACCTCAGGAAGCCAGAGGTGTGCTAGAGAGATGTACCAAGAGGAGTGAGGGCTAAGAGGAGAGACTTGCAAAGGGAAGGTGGGCACTCTTTCTAAACTTCTCTCTTACTCTCAATGAGGCTGGCCCTGACTTTCACCCATAGAGTCACTTTCTGGAGTAGGGGTTGAGTGGGGTCATACGCATTGGCGCTAAGGCTGTGGTGGTGGTGGGGGGGGTTGTTGAGAGACTATCTTACTGCTGAATGAGAGACATAGCTCACCCTAACTGTACTGCCTCATGCCACCTCTGCCCCCACAATTTTGCTGGAGCCAAGAAAAATCTGGAGCTTTAAGATAAATAAATCTCAGTCACTGTGCAGTGGTGGATTTTGATGAAATGAGACCAGATGGCTGGAGGACAGACTCTCAGGCTGCTCCCTGGGTGGTGGAGATCTGGGGATGGGGCAGCCTCATGGAAACACTGTCCCCACAGATTCATACAAAGGTTTTCTTAGAAAAAAAATTACCATCAAGCAACATCTTGTCTCAACCCGTCTCCCTACACCAGTGGTTCTTACCCCTGGCTATCCTCTAAATTATCACCTGAGGAATTTGTGGAAATGCTTATACTGGGACCATAATTCCAGAGATTGCAATGTTCTGGGGCGGAGGTGAGTCCAAATATTGGAGTTTTAAAATCATCCAGTTTATTCTACATGTAGCCAGGGTTGAAGACCACAGCTCTCCACCACTGGAGGCCCGCAGTTGCCCTAGGTATGGCATATGAGATCCAGCATGTGTGCCTTGCGGCTGTGGGTCCTGGAGCCAAGTTGGGAGGGATGGGGAAGAGGGGCCACCTGCCTGGATGCTATTCATGCTCATTGCTACTGCCATCATCCCTTCCCTCCACCTCAGGACAGTCTCCACTGCACTATAAACAGGAACCGGCATACACCCAAGTGTCTTTATTTTTGGCTACAGGACAGCAGTTTGATAAACATGCAAGTTTGCGACACTCGTTGTTTAACACAGAGACAGCCGTGAACCCCAAGTCCACCCTGAGGCGGAGGCGGACCATTATTGGATTCTCTAACTTTTCCCAGCGAGACTCAGGTGACCCCAACCACAGCTGATCCCCCAGACCCTTCCCCTTGCTCGCTGCCACCAATCTTGCCACCCTGGTGGCATTGTGATGATGGGAGAACAGGAATAATTTGGGGGTTGGGGTGGGGGAGACTTTGGAAAGCCTGAAAAAAAAAAAACTGTGGTAATTGAGGATAACCAATGTCCTTTTGCCAAGATTAGCAACTGATTAACCAGGTCCTCCAGGCTAACAAATTTGTTATTGTTTCCTGGTATAAATGGAATATAATTTTAGATATCAAATTGAAGTAAAGAAGGCACCATCTTCGCAGAATCATTGCTGTTAAATGAATGCCATCCAAAGGGCACAGAGAAAAGTGGATGTAAATCTGGGCCTCCCTGTTTACCAACTGTGAGACCTTGTATAAGTTATAACCTCCTGGAGCCTCAGTTTCTTCATCTGTACAGTGGGGGAAATGACAGCCAGCTGGGGTTGTGAGGATTAGTTATTGCATGTAATTTTCCTACCATGTTCCTGGTAGTAGGTGTTCAACAAAGGGTGACTTACTTTAAATTACTACAGCAGTTATATTAATGGAAGCAGTGATAATAATAGTAGATGATGTGATGGTAATAACTTTTCGTTTAAGAAAGTCGCTGGGGACTTTTAACAGCTAGACCATTCCTGCACATCTGTGGGTTATCTGAATCTCTGATGTCTCAAAGTTTAAAAGTGACAGGTGCCACAAACACAACCAGACCCTGAGCTCTCCACCTATGGCTTATTCCAGGTCCCTTACTGGGCTGATGGTCACACAGTGCTGTCTTTTATCTTTTTGTAAACCATTTCCCTCACCTCAGGAGAAGTGAATGCTGAGGTTTGTGATGGTGTCCTGAGGCTGGGATGAAAGCGTAGTAGGAGAACCCCAAGGTAGTTCCATATACCACATTAGCTCTAAAAAGTGGAGTCTTTGGCAGCCATCTGGACAATTCAAGGGTGCCCTGTGACTCACTTTGTAGTGATGAGCAAGGACCCAACTTCCCCAGCAGTCTCATCTACATGGAAAGGAAGAAAACAGGGATTTTCACCAATGCTTCTTGGCAAAGACTTGGTGTTCCTGTCTCAAGATTGCTGCTGCAAGATTACTGGCTGCACCACTAATGCTCTGTGTTTGCCTCCACCAGGTCACAACAACAGCCCAGGAGGCAGCGTGGCCTGCCCTGCCACCTCAGACCTCAGGCCTAGTCGCTCAGTTCCAGAAGGTGTTCATGGGAGAGTTGCAGTCGGTCAGGAAGCTCGGTTCCCAAATCTCACTTCGCCAGCACTGAGAAATCCTTGTCGTGACTCGGAAGAGCTTCAGCAGGCACGCAGCAGCACAAACCCTCCTGGCATGGAAAGCATGGCAATGGTATACAGCGTCCCTGCTTCTTGCAATGGACCCACAGAATCGACATTCTCCACTTCCTGGAAGGGAGACGCTTTTACTTACATGACTCCAAGTGCCACCAGCCAGAGCCATCAAGCCAACGAACACGGGAAAAATCCTTCCTCTGGGAATTCTTGGGTCTCTTTGCACACGCTGCCACCTCTGCTTCCAAAGGAGACAGGGACCCTCTTTGTCACTCGTGACAACCCAGCAGGATGCAGCGGGTTAACTGGCCACAGTGAGCGACCTCCTCTGCAAAGGCAAGTATCGGAACGCCCGTCCAAGATAGGCCTTCTGACCAGCGGTGCCTCGCGGCTGGAGACCGGCCCGGGTGGGGCCGGCCGGTTCCGGGAGCGGTCATTGTCTGTGCCCACAGACTCGGGCACTGCAGATGTGGATTATGATGAGGAGCAGAAGGCCAGTGAGGCCTGTGCCCTGCCATATGCCAGCGCAAGCTCTGAGGGCAGTAACAGTGCCGACAACATAGCCTCCCTCACTGCCCCTCAGGAGGCCCGGCACAGAAGGCAGAGGTCCAAGAGTATCTCACTCAAGAAGGCCAAAAAGAAGCCTTGCCCACCAGCACGCAGTGTCTCACTGGTCAAAGATGAGCCAGCCCTCTTGCCAGAAGATGGGGCAGCTCTCGCCAAGGACCAGAGGCCCAGAAGCCTCTGCCTCTCCTTGGAACACCAAGGACACCACACGCCCCACCCAGATGCTCAGGGTCACCCAGCTGCGCCAACCTTCAAAGATCCAGAAGTTACACAGTTCTCCCACCACTGGTATCTCACAGACTGGAAGTCTGGTGACACCTACCAATCCTTGTCCAGCTCCAGCACTGCCACTGGCACCACAGTCATTGAATGTGCCCAAGTTCAGGGCAGCTCAGAATCCCTTGCCTCCCCTTCCACCTCCAGGGCCACTACCCCTTCCCAGCTCTCCATTGAGGTAGAGGCCAGGGAAGTATCCTCCCCGGGAAGGCCCACTGGGCTGATGTCACCTTCCAGTGGCTACTCCAGCCAGTCAGAGACACCAACACCCACCGTTTCCATGTCCCTGACCCTGGGCCACTTGCTCCCGCTAAGCAGCAGTGTCCGCGTGCGTCCAGTGGTACCAGAGAGGAAGTCATCACTACCGCCAACATCACCAATGGAGAAAATCTCCAAGTCGCGGCTATCATTTGACATACCACTGACCTCCTCAACCAACCTGGATCTGTCTGGGATGAGCATCTCCATCCGAAGCAAAGCCAAGGTCAGCCGGCATCACTCAGAGACAAATTTTGGGGCCAAACTGGCCCAGAAAACTAACCCCAACCAACCAATCATGCCCATGGTTACTCAGTCTGACCTGCGTTCTGTGCGCCTGAGGTCGGTCAGCAAGTCTGAACAGGAAGATGACATCGAGAGCCCTGACTACCCTGAGGAACCTGGAGCAGAAGTCTTCCCCCTGCCTGAGAGAAAGACAAAACCTCCCATAGCAGAGAAGCCCCTGCTGGCCCGGCGTCCTTCAAGCTTGGTCCACAAGCCACCAGCTGTCCCTGAAGAGCACCCACTGTCTTCGCCTCCCTTAGCTATGACTCCCAAGAACGCAGTTCAACACATGAGGCCACTCCCTCAAGACATCTACACGGTGGTGCGGAAACCAAAGTCCCCCGGCACACCTGAGGGCAGAAGCCCCGGGGAGTCAACAGCATCCTCATCTCTTGTCTTCACACCTTTTGCCAATTCCTCCAGTGCTTTGTTCGCAGGAATGCAGCAGCCTCCCCAGGGAGGTTTGGAGGATGAGAGCCCCAAGGGGAGAGGCCTGCCTGAAAGAATTAATCTCCAGAGCCAGGACGAAGCTGAGAAAAAAAAAGGCAAGATTCCACCTCCTGTGCCAAAAAAGCCCAGCGTGCTGTACCTGCCTCTTTCCTCATCCCCAGCTCAAGTGGAGGCCTTTGTGGTCGAGCCAAGGCTGCCTGTCAGCCCCATTGTCACTTTGAAGGAAGATGCTAAGTGTCCCCCCACTGGTGACAAACTGCTATCCCCTGGCGCGAGGACGACAACTTCAACACTGCAGACTTATGGAGAAAGGGATGTGAGCCCTGTGGGTTAGTAAGTTGTTTGTTGGCTTTTTCTTTCAGTCACATAAGAGAAGAATATGAAAATGGAGTGCCAGAGACAGAAGCAAATGTCCCCCAGTAATTATCATGCTCCAGGATGACCAAGTCATTGTGGGGGGGGGGGGTGGCACTTCTTTAGGGTTTGTTTTACTCTAAATACATCTCACACACATCTCCAAGGCCCAGCTTGGGTCAATCTACCCTGGCCATCCCCAAGCTGGGATAGTGAAATCAAACCAGGTGCTGGCACCCTAGCACCTTCGGAACCAATCTGCCTAGTCAAGACACATGTGCCCTGGGAACTCTCTCTCCACCTCCGAGTATGGCACTTTCCACTGGCAGAGCTGGAAGGTTGGCTCTTCCCAGACTCATAATAGGCTAGATGGTGTTTCCTGTTTTTTGTTTTTATTTTGTTTGGGGGGGGGGTGTTAGGCTGTCTTTTTTGTTTGTTTGTTTTAATGTGCTCAAATACACTTTAACCATTTGTAAGTGTACAGTTCAGTAGTGTTAAGTACATTCACAACACTGTTCAACCATCACCACTATCCATCTTCAGAACTCTCTTCATCTAGCAAATCCCAAGTCTGTACCTATTAAACAATGACTCCCCATCACCCACCCCCAGACCCTGGCAACTATCATTCAACTTTCTGTATCTATGAATCTGACTCCTCTAGGGACTTCCTATAAGTGGAATCATATGGTATTTGTCACTTGTGACTGGTTTAGTCACAAGTTTAGAGGATACTTAATATAATGTCCTCAAGGTTCATCCATGTTTATCCTTTTTTGAACACTTAACACCATACATCAAAGCCTTATGATTTTCCTTGAGCAGATTTAGACTTTCAATGTAAATTAAATCCTTGTGATTACAAATGGCAAACGAATCAAAACCACAAGAGATTTTACAATGTGCTGCCTCAGTTCCCATAGTTCCCTCTCGTGTACTGGTTGAGTCATTGCTTTAGGTGGCTTTCAGCTTGATTTTTCATAATGATGCACTGAAAACAAGAGAATGCTCAGGTGATGTGTTGTAATGGGTAAACACAAGAGAATTGGACTAGGCCGATCATCACCGCTCATCCCTCCCTGGCCACTGGCCTCTGAAGACCATGTTCCTCTGTACAATGGACACACTTAGAGTCCCTGCCCTCCCAGAGTCACTCTGAACATCAAATGAAATACACATAAGAATGTGCTTTGTCCTACCTGTCTTAGTCAAAATAATTCCCTCTGGTTCTTATGCCTAGGAAATTCTATGGAACCCAGCACTGAAGAAAAAAGTTTAATCAGTGATAAAACAGCCGAATGGATTGCAGAAGATGATGATGATGTGTTTGTGGCTTCACGCACAACTGAAGATTTATTTACCGTGATACACAGGTCTGGACCAATTTCCCTAATTCCTACTGTAAGCGTCTTTCCTTTCCATACCAAACAAAACCTGCTACCTCTAAGTGGCCATTAGAAATGAAGCCGGAAATGAAGTTCAGTTACCCACAGATGTGAGCGTAGTCCAGGGCCTCACATCTCCAATTCACTGACGTCTCTGGGTGATATGGAGAAGGGGTGGAAAGGGAGGACCAGGTGCTTGAGAGAGAGGCCCCTCCGTCTCCTAGCAACTGGGAGGTCTATTGTGGCTCCATCTGTTCTCTCACAGTTCTGTCTGCAGTCAGAGACATTTAACCCTTTGCAGAATTCCTTGTAGCCAAAAATCTTATCAGGAAGTAAGACAGAGTGTCAAACTAGGAAATAGGTAAATGGGGACCCAATTATTGGTCAGGGCCACAAAATAGGGGTTCAGTGACCAGAAAACTGGAATGATCCCAGTTATTGGAGCTGGAACACCAGTTCAGAGCAGGATCAGCTCCCAGGCCATAGTGATTAGAGTCACTGAGCTACTAGCCTTGATTCCAGTAACTCTTCCTTGCTCCCAGAACCTGGGCAGAACTGAACCCACAGGCCCAGGTCAACTCACTCCAGCTGGGGGCATTGAAAGGTGTGTAGGTACGGGGAAGTACAGGGAGCCAAACCAGGGACGCTGAGGCCTTAGTGAGAGAAAGCTGGCGAGTATGACCGCTTGAGAAGCTGCCATGTGAAAGTTCTCAGATCACGTACCTGGCCTTCATGAAGGGATGGAAGCCATAGTAGATATCTGCCCCACAAGTTTGCTCAAAGTAAACTTTCTCTCATTTAGGTCCAAAAGAAAGCTGCTGGGCTGGAAGGAGCCCAGCGAGGCCTTTGGCAGTGGCAGACCAAGCTCCCACTCACCGATAAGGAGCACAGCGGATTCTCCCATCAGTGAGTCAGCTACCTCTTCAGGGTCAGGCAGCAATGCCAACTTAGATGCTGGCAGAAATGATGATTTCAAGGCCTTGTTGCAGAAGAAGGGAAGCAAGACAACTCCAAGGTCCCGCCCCTCAGCAGCCGAACTGCTGAAGACCACTAACCCACTGGCTCGGAGAATTATTGCACAATTTTCAAAAGACTATGAAACCACCGATAATCCCAGCACCTAAACCTTCGTGGGCTCAGCAAGCAGGGTTTATTTACTAAAGTTGAGTAGAGAATGGGAAAGAGAAAGGGTTTTTTAAAGGAACCATGGAAATAACACAGGAGGCTGCATTTCTTTCACATTAAACTCACTCTGGGCAGCAGAAGAGAGGCCACTTCAAGTAGAATGAAAATCATCAGGCACCTCAGCCATCTTCAGATATTTTACGTTTTCATACTTAATAATCTTGCCATTACTGACTACCAGTTTTCTCCTGGTTCCTGCCCCTTGTCCCCCGGCCACCCAGGTCTGCACTTAGAAGCAATTCTCTGATGTGAGGGCACACGTGCGACCTTTTCAATCAGTGATCAGGCTGATCCATTTCAACTCCTTTGGCTGAGAGGCTGGGTGTGAGAGCAGACTGAGGGCCGCCAAGCCTAGGAGGGGTGCGAGGGCGCCATTACTGACCACTCACTTTCCCTGCAGGGCCTCGATGTCCCTGTGTGGAGATACAGAAAGACTGATGCCTCTTGGACTGTAATGTGGTTCTCCTTCTTGAGGGGTTGTCAGGTATGCACTTACTTCGGCATGACATTGGACAGCTTTCGGTATGCAAAATATGAAGGTGATTCGCTCCTCAACTTCATGCCTTGTTAGGTTTGATTGTCTACACGGAGATCAGGGTGATGAGTTTCAATAAGCATATAGTCCCTTGCCCTGCACCCTTAAGGTAGAAAAGGTCAGAACTGGGTTGCTTTGGATGAACCAAACTCAGCCACCAAACAAGGCAGCCATTTGTTCGCTCACATCTATTCAAGGTAACTTGCAACTTACGCCTTGATATCCTTCAAATGTCTGTGAGTCACAGTAGCTATGATCTGTGCCCAGCTCATGCTGCATTCTAAGAACCCTCATTTTATTTGCATACAGCATTCATTACAGGAAGCAATTAGCTTAAGAAACAGCATCATCAAAGACTCAAGGAAGAGAATGTAAGTGCAACTTGACCACTACCATTCAGTCCAGATTGTGGTTTCTGGTTCATTTGGTTTTGTCTAAAGGAAGTCTTAATCTGTCTGCAACACTTAGATTCAAAGGGTAGACCCAGAATCTGAAAGCCAGCCTTGCAAGGCCCATTACACAAAGGCCAAACATTGCTATGGCCCATCACACACAAAAAAAGGGCTATTTTTGCCATTTAGGTTCTGCTGTTTGATCAACTTTTAATTAACTATGCTGGGGAAGAATGTAAGGACTGGGATGCTGACAGAGCCCCACAGCAATCATTGTGAAACCCCTCTCCCCAGAGCTTTAGGCACTATTCTTGTCAATTCAGTTTTCTAAGCAGAGCAAGATTGCTTCTTTTGATTTTCATATCACTGGTTTCTGAGAGGTTGGGAGAAAAAAAACAACAGACAAAGCATTGAACAAAGAAAACTGGCTAACCAGTAATGGAGGGATAATAACAACTGTTCCTCAGAGGGAAACAGAAAAGTCAAATGAACTTGTAGCTTGCTTCACCAAGAAGATTCCCCTACCCCTTCTTCCTTTGGTTGACCTCCTGGAAGATGCAGAAACTGCCCCAGAGACAGACAAAACTTGATCTTGATAGATTGCTTGCTCACCGGTGAGAAGCAAGCTCTCAGCTCAATTGCCCACCATGCGCCAGACGGAGCAGCTGAAAAACTGCACTGGATGCTGAAAATAATAAACAGCTAGAGAAAGCCCAGTAGCTTTTGAAGGTTCAAAGGTCCTGACCAAGTTTCAGGGGGTGGGGGTGGTCTGAAATAAAGTAGTTTCATTCCTGGTCTTCATTTATATATGAATGCCAAGTTCATCTGCCAAGACTTAGAAATCCAAAAGAAAGAAGCATTTTCCTCAATGGGGAAATGAAGGAATGTTCGTGCTCTTGCCTAACAAAAGTAAAAGACCACCAGGGACTGACTTCTCCTTGAGAATCATTATGGATAACTGAACTCTAAAGCTGAGGATGAGACTCATGCAGTATATGACTTCACTTCTATTGATTTTTCTGGAAACTTCTCCTTTGCTACTTCTAGTGGGTTTTACCTCTCCTGTCACCTTGCTCCCTCTGGTGGTTTTCTCAAGAGTCCAAAGCTGAATGTCCAGACACTTTTACATTCTTTAATGACTTTGAGTCTTGCTTTTCTCTGCAGTACCCTGTATGCCTGGAATTTTTACACCTTCTATATCATTAGTATGCCAAGTGATGTTCCCACTAACACAAAGGGATTTAGGGGCAGAAATTGTATGGTCAAAGGTAACATTGAGGCCTGAAAACATTCTTTCAATATCTTGCAACCTAGTCCCAAACAATCAAACATTCACTACCAATCACGGAGGAAACATAACACAGACCATCTTTAGTACCCCTTAACATTCAACCTCTCTCCTACCCTTGATTAGCATAATACCAACTCTTTCCCACCCTTCTGTGGCCTTACTGTGTTGAGACTGGAGAAGAGAGATTGAAAGTCCCTCTCTGGAAGGTTTTCAGAGAACCTATTACCAATCTGAATAATAAGGATGATAATTTTTAAAGTGGAATACAGAAGGTGTTCAAGAGGTCAGCTTCCAATGTCAATCATTTTATGCCTTTTCCCCCTTGATTTCAAGCTTTAGCAGTAGGCAGCTCTGCTAGACTGGCTTCAGTCTAATCAGGAATAGAGAGAGTCATCACAAAGAGAGGAGGTTAATTGGTTGCTAGGAATGCCTTGCTGGAAATTCATTGCATATTTGTGGTTCCAGTGTTGAGGATATCAAGCAGGTCTTTCTCAGTATAACAGGAAACTTTGCTGGTGTCTCTTCTCCTTTGTCTGCCTCAGTCTCTAACCTGGGCGTCACACCTGGCCCCAACTCATCCCTCACTACCAACTCCCATGAACTGTACCTCTCAGCCCACAATTCACCCTTAAAGAGGCAAGATCACAGGCAGCAAAATAGCTCATGTTAGCTTCATGGCCACACATCAACTGATTGATCTGGTGACATTACCTGGAATGTGCAAAGACAGAGGAGATTCTCCAAGGTTCTTACAACAAACGTTTCACCTGACCTCCTTTTCCACTCCCTGTGCAACCTGGAGCGGATCATGACTCCACAGTAGCTGTCAGCCTGGGAAGATCCGTCCATTCACCTGCCGCTTCCTCATAAATGAACTCTTCCCTAAAAAGGAAGCTTGTGGTCAGTACTGTGTTCCACCAGTGCAGCCTCTATTGTTGCTAAGCCTGTAACACAATGGTAAGCTTTCACTTGAATATGATTTGCCAGGGCCAGGACTAGAGTGAGGTGAGTCACCTGGGGCACCACATTTAAGAAGGCACCAACTCTCAGGGCTGTGCAAGTGCCTTACCCTCGTCCCGGCCCTGCGATTTGCACTCTATAAAATATTATCAGTTTATCCTCTTCCTACGAACAAGTATGGTTCTGATGAGGAGGGGCTTGGGGTGGGTTACTCTAGCTGTTGTTGCACCAAATGTTTTATCACCACCCATTTTTTCCATTGCTATAAATATTTCTTATGCCTATTATCAGGAAATATAGTTGATTTCTAAATAACCTGCTCCAAGCATTGGGGTAGCACCCATTTCAGTAGGGTGCCCACAGAGGTATCCCTTGAGCAAAACAATGGCCAAGGTCGAGGTCTGTCACTGGTGTCCCCCTCCCCCCACCCGTTCTGTTCTCCCCAGACCTGGTTTTGAAGCAACAACTCTCCTGAGTGCCTCCCACTTTATTTTCCTACTCTTTAAGAAGAGTACCCTCTCAGGAAAGGGACCTGTTCCTTTACTTTGAGATTGGAAGGCTTAATGCTTGCATCTGAACAGAAGGAATGTCTCATTCCAAAAGAATGAAGTTCTACTTAAAGAAACTTAGGTATCATCTAGTAGCAGAAGTGTATTTTTCACCATAAAAAGGCCAAATTCCCTAACAGCTGACTCCAGAATATGGAAAATCCCTAAACCTCCTGGAATGATTGGAGTAAATTGCTGATGTGGATTAAATTGCCCTGATACCAGTGCTGTTCAATGTGGTTACTAGCAAGGGGACTTTGGAAGTGGTCACTCAAAGCCGCTAAGAAGGCCTACATAATGCATATTGCACATTAATATTTGTACACTAATAAAATTAATGCTACTCACCATTTTGGTAAAAAACACATGGACTTAAAGAGTTTGTGAAAATGTGTCCTGGTTATGAAAGGTGAAACTGTCCAATCAATGCAGTCATCTGGCTTTGATGATGCTTATTCAACTTATAGAGTGTGCTTTACTGAACACAGACCCTCTGTCCCCCGCTCCCATGATCTACATTATGTGCTGTCCCTTCTGCTCGGTGTGAAAACAAGACAGATCTACACTAGCATGCCCAGCCCCTCCAAAGCCTTTGCCAGTCTTTCAGCTGTTAAAGACCAAGATTTTAGGGGCTGAAAAGGACAATAGAGAGGGACAGAGATACTTCCTGTGTCAAAAGGAAGCAAAAAATCACAATGATTTAAACAATGACATGAAATAAACTGTGAAAGAATACAAGATGCAGTAGTAAATGGTGACAGACACACACTTGAGGAGCTTTAGATAAGTGTAGCAAAAAGGAAGTTTGCATCAGTGATGGGCTTGTGTGAAATGGATCTATACTTGTGTTCAGCGAACCCTAATGGAGGCCAGTGGTTCTTAGTTGGTCCTGGTGCCTCTAGCAGCATCCTTGAGGAGAAATGAGAGAGAGAGTAGATAAGAAAGAGAGAGTTTTCCAGAGATGTTGCTCCTTCAAGTCCCTGAGTGACCATGACTCTCCAACTGATTCCAAACTTCCCTGTAGTTTCTGCTGTGATCACAGGGAGCAGTCTCTGGCCAAGCAATGCACATTCCCTTGGTCAGGCATACATTTGTTTAGGTGTTAAGAAATTGTCCAATTGAATCAACTACTTTGTTTAGCCTGTAAAGCTCCTCATTTGACTTAGCCAGCACATCTGGTCTGTTTTGGTTATTTTTTTAAACTCACAGATAAGAAAAAGGAAAAGGTGTTATAGTTATTTGTATGGCATTGCCAACCACCAATTATCTGTTTTCACCACA